CCACCAACCGGAGGCGAGACCACGAGGCAGAACATAAGCAGCCCCGACAAGGCCCCCCCGAGCCCAGGAAAAAGGCGGAGCCGCGAGAAGATCTCGGGCGCGACCACCGAAACCCAGGCGGCACAAGGAGATGGAACGTCTGCCGAACAGAAAAACTCCGAAGCATGCAAGCCCGCCAGGAGTTCAGAAACGACGGGTCCGACGCGAGACATCGCAAGAACCCCCCCAAAAAAAATAAAACAACAACAACCGGCAGGGCAAGCTAGGAAAACCAAAGAAGGCGGAAGGGTCGCCGCCAGAACAGGACCCGAACCAAGGGGCCCGAACAACTGCAACAGACCGAAACAAAGAAGCACATCACAGGACACAGGCTGACCAACGCCTAAGAACACACGCAGAACATTCCTGCTGCAGAAGAGGCAGGAAGAAAGAGCAGAAGCACAAAAAAAAAAAAAAACCAGGAGAACAACCAGGGGTGGACAATCAGGCAGGGACAAAAACCCCACGCAATCCCCAGGCACAAAACGGCAGCAAAGCGCCACTCCACAACCGGACACAGGAACAAGGACACGCCACCGTGAAACACGGTACCAATGCTCACGTGCAGCAGCAGCAGCAACAGGCACCACTGCAACATGCAACATGTAAATAGCAACTCCCCTCTGCAAAGGCAGAGAACGGAGCAGGCAGACCCCAGACAGGGCCAACGGAGACACGACAAAACCCTGCAGGCCCAGAAACCTGCACCAGGCGACCGACGGCGGAGAAACCCCGCTCGATACCTGCTGGATGAGGTACTGGGAGCTCTTTTACACCTCAAGCCCGGCCCAAGGTCAGGCCAGACCGGCCAGAGGATGGCCCACCAGGCAGCTGCTAGGAGCAGTCCACCGGCCCACATACCCCCACAACCAGGACGGGCCGGAACTGCCATACGAAAACAGGCCAGTGCGCCCTGGAAGTCCACGGACGAACCAGCAAGAAGGCTTATGCTCGCAAGTAGGTCGTGTAACAAGCACAGACCACTGATGGTAATACAGTGTTCCCCAAAAGTGCCAATAGCACCACTGCACTCCACTGGTACTATCCCGCAAGTTCTACCAGATAGGCGGGACCCAAGAGCCAGAGCTCAAATCCTGCAAGCACAGCCAGGAGCCTCACCAGGTGAGTACAGAACCAACCCTACAACCCCCACACCTCACAACATTAAAAAAGGAGGGTCCCCTGAACGACTGTAGCATGGGTTGGACATGCACAGGAGGGGGACAGGAAGGGGTGATAAAGGGACAGTCACTGGTGTGCGAACGGTCTCAGTCGTACAAAATTATACCTAAATAAAGACAGGTATATGAACACCGCCGCATCCAGCGCCCGGCCAAAAGACGCCAGACCGCAGAAACTCACCTGGCGAATGGTGGCTCGAACTTGACACGACTCAACCGTGCCCAGAAGAACTTGGGAGCACCGCCAGGTGAAGACGCCAGAGCCGGACCCGCAGGAGAACAGGGAGAGGCGAAGGAGGCGGTCCACACCCATGACACAGAAAACCGCGGTGTCCTCCCCACAACTGGGAACCAGGACACCCCTGGCGCAAAGGGGCACATACCGCAGCCAGGGAGAAGAACGAGAGGCGAAGCACTGTAGCAAAAAAGGGCGCAAAACCCCAGCACTGAACCATCGCCCAGACCAAAACAAACTCCACGGCGCATGCGCATAACACGCTGGCCGAACCGCACACCCTCCCTGCGGGAAGGCGCCAGCCAGGACTATTGCACGAGAAAAAGAGCCAAAAGAGGAAGCAGGAACAAGAAAACCGGCCAAAGAAGCAAAGAGCCCAAAAAAAGGGAACCCAAACGGGCGACAAGTAGCCCAAACGGGCGACAAGTAGCCCAAACGGCCGACAAGTAGCCCAACCGGGCGACAAGTAGCCCAACCGGGCGACAAGTAGCCCAACAGGGCGACAAGTAGCCCAACAGGGCGACAAGTAGCCCAACAGGGCGACAAGTAGCCCAACAGGGCGACAAGTAGCCCAACAGGGCGACAAGTAGCCCAACAGGGCGACAAGTAGCCCAACAGGGCGACAAGTAGCCCAACAGGGCGACAAGTACTAGGAGCCGACAGACGTTCCAATAATGCGGGAAGTAGCGAAAAACCTTCCCGTACCCTCGAGAACACAGAAGCCAACACTAGTCCCGAAGGCACACGAAGGCGCAGGCGCACCCGAGATCAAAAGTCACGCAGAACCCCATCGAACGGGGAAACATGACAAAAACACCGTCCCAAAAAGCGGGGGAGGAAACATCCACCCACAGGACGGAACCAACCGACTCAAAGGCCAAGGAACCGAGCCCGGGGAGGGGCCGACGTCCAACAGCACGTACGGCGAGTGGGGAGGAAAAACCCCACTCCGCGTAACCACAAGCCCCGCCTAGAGGGGGATAAAACCCCCCACGGGGTCTAACGGGGCCAAGGCCCCCCAAGTCAGCCCCTCCCCAGCCCCGGGAACCTACACGACAGGCCCCGGGGCCGAGCCGTTCCCCCAAAGCCCCGGCCGTACCAGAAAACCGGGGCAGCCGTGAAAACACTAAGGAAGGGAGCCCACTGGCAGACTCATACAACACGGCTGGAGGAACAGGCCCAAATGCCCCCGTCACTACCCCGGAAGGGGAATTCCCCGAGACTGCCCGAGTCTCAACACCACCAAACACCCCGCCCTGAACCTACAGACGGTAAGGAACCGGATGCAGGCAGGAAGGGTGAACCAGGGGAAAAACGAAATACAACGGGGCAGCCCCGGGGCTCCCGGGGAGGAAACCACGAGAACGTTGCCACCACCAAGGCTCAAGTGCAACGCCCCTGCTGCCCGCACCCGCTTTGTTAGCACAACTGGGTAACCGAGCCACAACGAGCAACCAAACTCGCAGGACACCGGGTCGAAGGTGTCACCGACCCCACAGGCAGCAGACGGAGGCAAAACAGAGAGTCACCCAGAGACAAAAGGTGAGAGCAACCCTCAAACTCGCTGGAAGCGAGGGGGGGGCTCTGGGGTCACATCCATCGGACCCGCGCGCCCCCAGGGGTTTCCCAGGGTCCCGAGCGTTTACTTTAAGAGGACTCGCGCTCAGGTAATCCCAGGCAGGGTACTGCTAACCGGCACCCAAGCTACCAAACAACTTTCTAAGAGCTGAACCCCCGGGACGTGTACACTCACGGGGACCTAGCAGGGGGTACCACCAGAAATACTCAGAACACAAGGGACACAAGGGGCAAGAACGAAGGCAGACCCCCCCACCAGGTATATAAACAAAAGAAAAAGAAAACCCCGCAAGAGGACAGCGTACCCAAGCGGAACAGAGCCGGCCGCTATGATTGGTAAAGACAAGCTGCACAGTACCCCGCGCCCCACCAGTGCAAACACTGCCCCTTACTCTAAGGCGAACAAGGGAGACAGAACACCCGAGCACACAAAGAGCGGCCGAAAACCAAGCGGTAAACGGCCAAGCAGGGGCAGGACCCAAGGAACTTGTGGAAGGTGGCCCCAAGCCCCAAGGGCAGTACTTACAGGGCACCTAGGGAAGGGAACCCTAGGCGCATGCAGCCCGAGTACTGAAGAATCACACCCGGCTCACGCACCACCTAGAAAACAGACACCACACTCTAGGTACAGTGCTGAAACAACCACTGGAGCCGGAGCACATAACCATTGCCTATAGCATCAGCCGAAGAACTGATGGGTGGATAGCCGGCGTGGGAGGTCTGGGGCTCCCCCTTCCCCCTCCCGGGGAGGGGGGAGCTGCGCAGACAGCGGCGCGGTGACGTATGACGTCATACTAGTTTCCGTGTTTTCTGTTGAAGAGTTCTATTCACTAGTTCGGCTTAGGTAGCAATTTTCACCAGAATAGGGGTTTGTTTTGGAATGCTTACCTTTCTGGATGCTTGACCCGGTCGATGGCAGACATAGAATGCTTCCAACCACACGGGGGTTTCTATAGGCCATTGCTCCCCTTGCCTCTCTGAGGGGGCCAGGTTCTGGCTCGTGGTCCCCGGTAGGCCCTAGAACTCCATACACATGACTGATGCCAAAGTCTGACATTAGCATATCAGCCGGTAAAGCTCCGGGGAGCCGACGGGGCTCCCCCCAGAAAAGTGTCTATAGACAGGTTCTTAGTGAGACAAACAAGCAGTGAACCACAACTACGTCCTAGTGGTATGCCTGCAAAACATAGTAGAGAGAGTCCCCCAGAAATGTCATCACTGCCTGATGTTATAATGGAAGGGGACTTCTCCTTCCAAACACTAACACCTACCTCTCTTCCTCCCCTCCTCACCATCTTCCATCGCCAACAAGAGTCCTCAGTAAAGGTAAGACATATTGCAGTACAACATATGAGTAGTATTCTGTATAAAATGTATTTTCAAGTTAATATTTTTGGGTGTGTGGAATGGATTAATTCAATTTACATTATTTCTTATGGGAAAATTTGTTTCGGTTTACGAACCGTAAACCGAAACAGAACGGTTTCGTTCCATTTCCTTTTGGAACGGATTAAATTCTCTTGCCTCTTGGACCGGATTAAAATCTCTTGGAACGGATTAAATTCGTAAACGAAGGTAACAGTGTTCTGTAAATTATTTTCAAATGACATTTCTCATCCAATATCTTCAAATATTTTAATTTTATATCCATAATTTTCCTTTTTGTCACCACCCTTTAATATCCAGTTAGGCATTCATTATACAATACTGTACTGTATCTCGTAACTCTCCTGCTTAGCTTGCTTTTTTACTCCAATATATTCTCTCAATTTATTTTCTTACACAGATCTGGTTCTTCATAGTATCTTGGTATCTCCAATAATTCAGCCTCAGTACAGTATTGGTATCATTTAGCACTGTTCCCAATTTTAAAAGTACTATTTCACTTTCATTTTTTTTAATAATCAACTGTCTGTTTTTCACAACACTGAGACAAATATGTATGACCATAAAATTAAAAACAAGAATCTTTGTGACAATTATTATTGTGAGCAAATCATTATGATGAATACACTGAACTCTTGGAGACTTATGGTTACATTCCCCTCTGAAGGATAACTCCAGGAGGGAGCAAGGCATCAAAGATATTCAAGTGTATGTATTAATAAAAACAGCACCATACATTTTTTATGCTCAAACCACACCTCTATTATATTTAAAATACATCAAAGAAACCTCTTATAACATAATTAACATTAAAATTTGCAGACTTACAGAAGCTGAATTTCCCACAAAATGTGCTCTCCACATAAGACCTTTTATATGTAGAAAATTCAATGCTTAGTGGATTCCCCAACAATGAAAATAAAAGCAATATACAGTAACTTACTTTATATTATACATATATATATATATATATATATATATATATATATATATATATATATATATATATATATATATATATATATATATATATATATATAAATACTCTGATGATTATTAGTGAAACTCTCAACAAGTGTATCAACATTTTTTTCATCTTAAGAATGTAGAGCAATTGCTATTGTTCATCAAAAAATAGAGCAATGAAAAACTGCATCTAATTATTCATTATCTAGCTGTTTCAATGCATCAGAATTTCTACAAAAATAAAGAAATAAAAAATTTTTGCAGTTCATTTGCTCTCATGCAAACACTGCATGGACATTGGATATTAGATCTAATATTGATACAATATTTAAAATCTGTTACCTAATCTTAAATCGTCACTGGCCATATTATAACAGACTTAATTTTCAATGAATATATTATAAGTTTAACTTTTGAGCTTCAAGAGGAGATTTATTTGTAATGAAAGTAACATCTGACTCCAATTATAATTATTAATATTTTTTAAATAGACATTTTCTATTCATCATTGAGATAATATTTATGAGTATCAATCATCACACATCATTTGCTGCTTCCCTTTACTTGCACAATAAGTTTTGAAGCACATGGCAACCATATTTCTTTGTTATTTTATATTTTGGTTCAGGTATTGAAGATGTAACATTTTCATGTAGTCATCAACAAAGCCTATGTTATCAACAATTCATGATAATTTATGATTAATCATCTGCTATCATCAGAAGATCATTATAAATGTACCTATTTTTTTTTTTTTTTTACAAATAGAGGAACAAGCAGCAAAAGATATGGAAGTAACTTTTGAGAATTTAAATATTTCTTAGGAACATTTATTTTCTTAATTTTGTTTTCAGCAAACCACATACACTAATCATATCAACAAATTATTTGATTTCTTATAATTTAAACAATTGAAAGCACTCCAAGATTTCAAATACCATGGCTTTTGCAGCTAAAAGCATTTTTTTATCCATATCAAACTGTATAATACATAACAACCACTGATTATGTGAATATATATGATTATCAGTGCACATAATAGGATTCACTGCCAAACCTATTTATGCATTTAAAAGCAACCATAAAAAACTGAAGTTTCCTTCAACACAGCAAAATTATTTGGCCTTCACTATGTTTAGTTACCAATGTTATCCCGTAAAAACTTTATTTTAACATCCAAAGACAGTTCATGTCCTATTTAATATTGTTACTTGCTAATTGAATAACTTTTAAACCATTGTGTGTGTACATACTTGACATTATTAAAGCAACCTTTCTTTCTTTCCTGCATATTTGTTTTAGTAAAGCAACTATCATTGCTTTACTTTTATGAAAAAAAGTTTTGAAACCTCCACTGTAAATTTGCAACAAATGAAGACTGACAGGTTGGAAAATTTGACATATACTGTTCATTACAAGTGTTTTGAGAGAGAATGAACATAAATACTGTATTTGTTATGTACTGTATGTTATATATTAATATAACATATCTAAAAAAAACATTTCTCCAACTCATTCTCAATACATTTAGTCAAAATGTTTATCTGCTTAAATTCCTGCAAAGACTGTAGATCATCAAATTTTGCCTTCTGAAGAGGAACCTTTTTCATAGCAATCATAACTGCCATATGGTTGTTAACAGAATCAATAGTTTGCAACTGCTGGAATTCTGGTGTATCTTTATTATGCCGCTCCAGCAGGTACTGGCATCTAGCTGTTACTTTACCAAGGAGGGAGGTCATGGCTATGTGCTGGACTTCCATTTCATGTCTGTAAACAAATATAAAGAAATTATAGAGAAGTAATAAAAGATTAATTCAGTTGGCAAGATAATACTTAATATCATGTTTTAGAGCAAAACATTATCTCCAAAATGTAATTATTTATTGTACTGTACACTGTATGCACAACACCTGGTTATTAATATAGAAATGAGATCTACACACACACACACACACACACACCTACCCACCCACCCACACAGTGATGTCAAGTTTGTGGGTTTTTGGGATCCCATAATGGAGGAAGTTTTGGGGTTATTTGAAATGAGATGTTAAAAGTTGTTTGGTATTGACAGACCACTTGAGTATCTTCCTGACACTCTTACAAAAGTTTCCTCTTTCTATCATTTCTTATAGTGTTGTATAGTAGATCTCAAAATAAATGAAGATGATATCATTTTGCCTTTGTATGACTTGTATTTACTTAACAGTGACTACAGGGAAATGAGGTCTAGCTGTTTAACCCTTGCCTGCAAGCATTTTTGTACCTGATGAATTTTTAAACTTTTCTGATGTCTGAGTTTTTTATCGTATCTACTCTTGAAGTTGTGAGTTTCGCTTGTTAACTGCAATACTCATACAGGGTGCAAATACTTCCTTACATTTCTTTGATTAACTACTTTCCAGCTTACATATGTGTTCTCTAGTTCTGTTTCCTCTTAATTTAAAGAAATGTGATTATCTACCTTGTTTATTCCCCTTTGTTTAGTACTGTATTTTGTTTATAATGATCATAACCCCTCTGCACCTACTTCCTTCTAAGGTTGTGAGATAATTTCCTAAACCTGTCTTTGAAGCTTAGTTCTCATAATTCAAGGGAATTGAGGGTCAAATGTTCCCTCCAGGAATGTATTCTCTCCCCATGCTAATGCAATACTTGTTGGAAGTTTGGCTATGGCTTGGAGAAGTGTGTTGCTCTTTTGCTCGCTTTGTGGTGAGTGTGGATGTGTCAAGGCCACTTGTGCAACCCTACTGGTTTGATGCACTATTTGTGGTGGTGACCCTGCTGCATTTTCATGATCCTGTGCTCACTATAGAATTGAGCAGTGCATTCTGCACCTCAGGCATAAGGTCAATATCCTCTTTTCTGAAGCAAGACATCAGCTGTGATACTTTGGTCTCTTAACTGATATCATGTATGCTTGTGCTGATCATTCGGTGTTTTCAATTCACTCCTCTGGCCCCCCAGGCTCTTGAAATTATTTTCCCATTTTTGCTCCAGAAACCTCAACTGAGCTGAATATTTGTCCTACATCTCAGCAATTTGCTGCAGTGTGTGTGTTCTTTTTTGGCAACCCCCATCTGACATTCATGTCCTTTTCTCTGCTAATATGGGGTCCTGCCAAGCTACATCTCTGTTTTTCCCTTCCGACTCTTGGCCTTTGGCCTAGACCACTGGGTAACCTGAGCTGCTACTTGCTGGTGCACTTGGGAACCAATGTATGATTGGTTGACAATGGGAAAACTACCGATTCTTTTGTTCTTTAACCTATAATCATATTTTATTTTGTTTCATCTGTACTTTCTGGGTGGTTATATTCAATTTTGGATCATCTTATAATCCCATGCTTCCCTCACCACTATAAGCACAACAGATTCTAGTTCTCATGTTTGGAATGCCTGTTTAAATGCCTCCCCAATGCACCGGGGAGCTACTAAGGTCAAGCCTAGAAAGGGAAAGTAATACAAATCAAAGTAGAGAAAAGGCAAATCAACATGGAATGTAATGAAAATGCCCTTTTCTGATGGGCCTCTAAGTAGTTTCCTGAACTTAGGAGGTTGCACCAGGCCTATGTGACACACTTTAAGCTATCGAGAGCCAGGATCAGAATCTAACTTACTCTATGTGCTGGAGTAGTCTGGGGATCAGAGATCTACTCAAAATCAAGAGAGAACATTTACCAGATAAGCTAGGTACAACCAAGCAAGTGACTGCTTGAAAGAAAGTGCTAGCCCTGTAGTAAACAAGGAAAATAATTGTTGCCTCTGGGAAACTACCTAAACTGTGATGTGCCCAATTGCCATTAATAACAGCCCAGGTCAAATAAAATAAATAGCTCTTCTACAGATGTCCTCCCCAGTCTTGAGTCACCAGAACCTCCCCCCCCCTCACTTAAGAAAAAACTACAAAGACGAAAGGAGCAGGGTGGGCAGGATATAATATAGAATTTAGTAAGTTCTAGCAGAGCACCAGTTAATTATGCTTAACACTTCATAAAATCTGAATAATTTTATTTGAAGTTGTGAGTAAGTATACATCTTTTTACAGTGCCATTTGTACACACCCATTGTACACATACACACTCTTATATTTATGTTCTTCATTATTTTTTTACATTCTTTGGCTACATTCACATTTCAAGTGGTTTGAAATATCTTTAGATTTTAAATGAGGACAACTTCTCAAAGAAAGGGGTCTTTCACAGGAAATAAGATATCGGTGATAATTTGGTAAAATTATAGCCTGATAAAAATATATTGCATTACATGATTGCTGGGAAAATGATTATAACTCATATTAAAATTTCAAGCAGCAATGTATTCAGGTCTTAGAATTTTTAAACAAGATTTTTATATATTACGAACAGGACTATAAAACACTCACATATTCCCCACAAGGTTCTGCAGCTCTTCCATTATCTTGGACTCTATGGTAATCTGGACTGCTAAAAATGTTTCCTGTGGTACATTGATGCCATCCTTTTCACACCTGTAAATTTATTAAAATATATTTTAACAGATTGCTAATACAGTACAGATGAATTTTTGTTTGCTCTTTCAATACGATATTAATGCATCATCTGCTAAGTTTATATTTGCATTCTAATGATACATTAATATTTTACTGTATTGTATACAAAACATCCTCATATCACTTGACTATTGTTTTAGGATGATGGAGAATAATTGAAAACTGCACCTGGTAAGTGAATGGGGCTAAGGAAACCTCCGCTGTTCTACCACATGACCCAATGCCACACAAAAGCACAGCTCATGGTTTCATGTACAAATTATGCTTTAGTTTCAATATTTATTGAATAAACATAATTCAATTACAGTATGATTCCTTTTTTTGTACAGCATTATAGATTAATCATTTGCACATATCTATGAATTGAGGCTGGAAAACTAAATATTTTGCAATGAATAGCAAAAAATGGCAAAAAATCTTGATAAAACAGAACCAGTCTCAATTAGTCCACTCAAGTCTATTGACTTGAGAAAACATCAACACAGAACTAGAATTTCATATAAATCAGATATGCAGCATATATTTTATGCTGCATATAACAAGAATATTATTATATGCAACCATATAATTAAGTTGTTATATTATACATGTTGCCTAATAAAATATAGGCATAATTGATAAATTTAACACATTAGAGTACTGTATATGGTTTAAGGAAGTGATACTGTATACAAGACAAGAGTATGTACGCATTCTATAACTGCATGTGAGTGTACATGCAAGTGATTACAAGGAATTGTACGTGTTTAAAGTCATACAGTATTTATTTAGACAAAAATGCCCCTGTAACTATCAGCATGTAAAGCACATGTAAGACACCGTTCAAAAGCGGTGTAAATGAATATATAATATAACAGTAAACCAATATAACTGTTCCTAAATATTGTTTCCAATCAATTGAACAGTATTAACATTACCTTTCCAGTCCCATAATTTGATCTGCTAATGAATGAAGAGTAATGCAGTGTTTTTCCCATTTTTGTAAAATTGTCTTGAACAACTTCCATATAGCAGATGACTCGGCATACCAATCCAACCCCATTGCTGGTTACAAGTTCTTGCCTCTTTTCTCCCCTAGCAAGGTTTTACTTGTGATTATGGACATCGTCTTGAACTGTCTTGTATGTTTTTGAAGTTTTGAAAGCGGCAGAAAAAGGATAGCACTGTATCTAAACTGGTCCGTGGATCCTTATATACACTACAAATGATATACTCTCCTCCTGTAAAGATAATGAAAAGATTGCCATGGCATGTATTCACTAGCAGACACATCACTTAACACATCTCTATAGTTCACTGAACTTGGAATAGTCTCAAATAATTGAGCATTTGAAAATTACAAAGAGAAAGATAAAATTAACCTATAACACCATTTAAGGTAATAATATAGATTGTTAGTTGTAAATATTTACCCAGTACATAGTATAGAGAAATCTTAAAATGTTACATGTCTTCCTGAAGTGAAAATGAAAGATTATTATTGTATGTGTGTATACTGTACATGTAACTACCTAAGTGCAGTTACAGGATGAGAGGTACACTCGTGGTGTCTTATCTTCCCTGTAATCTTTGTCTTATGATGCTCTGAAACTGCTAGATTGTTTTGGCATCCACAACCTCCTCACTTAAATCGATCCCACAGTCCACAACTCTGTTTTCAAAATAGAACGTTTATATATTTTTTGTTTCCTGAGCTTAAATCTATGGCCTCTGTTTCTTGAAGTTGCAGGTTTCAAAAGTTAATCTTTGACTTCTGTGTTCATTCCAGCTTTGATATACAGTACTGTATATTGGAACCTCGGTTGACGAATGCCCCTCTTTACAAATTTTTCGGTTTACGAGCTCAATTTCTTTGTAAAATTTGACTCGGTTTATGAACTTTACCTTGCTTGGCGAGTTTGTTGATACTATACATGTATGGGCCGACCGAATGCGTGGCGCACTTCAGTTTAACAGTGTTTCCTGCTTAGTGACGACCGCGCTTGAATTCTTTGTGAAGAATTTCATTGATTTTGTACTTTTTTGATTTCTGAACATAAAAGTTCTTATTATATATCACGCCATGGGTCTCTGAAAGCATTTCAGAGGTTCATTTCATTTGTGAAAAAGCAAAGCTATTGGATGAAGATCTTATAAAGAAACCTCCTGGAATGAGCAATGCATATATTAAAGCATTTAAGGCGAGCAGGGGACAGTTTGAGAAATTTAGAAAAAGAATTGGTATTCATAGTGTTGTGAGGCATAGGGAAAAACAAATGTCTATAGGCAGATTCTTAGTAAGACAAGCAAGCAGTGAGCCACAACCAGGTCCTACTGGTATGCCTGCAAAACATAGGAGAGAAATGTCATTACTGCCTGATGTTATAATGGAAGAGGATTTCCCTTCCAAACACTAACATTTCTCCTCCTGGTGCAAAGAGAGGGGGCTTCCTCACCGTCTTCCATATGCCAACAAGAGTCCTCAATAAAGGTAAGATATACTGTACTGTAGTACAAAATATGAGTAGTAGTATTATATATAAAATGTATGAAGGTAATATTTTTGGGAGTGTGGAATAGATTAATTCAATTTACATTATTTCTTATGGGAAAATTTGTTTCAGTTTACAAATTTTTTAGAATTTTTGTCTCTGGGAACGGATTTAATTCGTAAATAAAGATACCACTGTACATTACATGTATTTAAAATGTCCATCCACTCCTTATATTTCTTATTCAGTTTTGGAAGCCATTAAGTAGCATGCTTTTGCACCCTTTCAAGTTTATCGATATGCTTCTTGAGATATGGACACCACACCACTGCTACATATTCAATTCAGTCTCACAAATGTTGATCATGAAATGTATACTCATCTAGTTGTGCATGCAGGGGTTGAACTTTGGATCTTTGGCCCCACCACTCAACCATCACTCTACTGGTGTACAGGTTCCTGAGCTTATTGGGTGCTATCATATCTACATTTGAAACTGTGTATGGAGTCAGCTTCCACCACATCACTTTCTAATGCATTCCATTCTTTCTGGTGAATAGGAGATTCAGTAATAATGGGACATTTCATTCCCTTGCATGCGGGGTCTGCCTAATATACTGGTGCATGATTTTGCCTGTACATATCTTCCATTCTTGGTTTATAAGCCTCCCATTCTAATAAGTTGATATTAAAAGTATCTCTCCTGTCCATGTGTTACTGTACTGTACTTGCTGGTGGGGCTGTAAGTATTTATGATTATAATAATTAGTCTAACTTTGTATTTGTATACCCAGTGCTGTAATATCTACACAGTTTTTGAGTCACTGAGAATTAATTTACTTATGCTCGTGTCTTTTTACCAATACTGCAATACCTCCATTTGCAGTTCTGGAAAAATACTACAAGTATTTTACTTGCGGTATTGGTAAAATACTGCAAATGTTTTTACCAATACATGTACTGTTTTTTCACCTTGTCTCTGTGTTATACATCTTCTCAGAAGTCATAGCTCATTTAGAATTCTCTCCTCCACTTTTGTTTCCACCAGTGAAACAATATCCCCGTCAGTGCCCCACCCCGTCAATATCATTCATCAATGCAACAATATTTGCAGTCCCAGTGGCATAGTGGTAAGTCGCTCGCCTAGCATTTCACGAGCGCATTGTCCTGGTTCGTATCCTGGCCGAGGAGGATTTACTGGGCGCCAATCCTTAACTGTAGTCTCTGTTTAACCCAACAGTAAAATGATTACCTGGTTGTTAAACGATTTTTCAGGTCGTATTCCGGGGAACATAGGATTAAGGACCTGCCCAAAAAGCTATGCATGCTAGTGGCTATACAAGAATATAAGAACTCTTGTATATATAAGTAAATAAATAAAATATCCAGTGATATCTGCTTTATTATATCATATAGCAATAATTTTTTCAAACTCACTCCATCTATGCTAATACTGTATACAAAAATTTCATGAGTTTGTGTTTTTCTAGGCCTCTCTCTATTAATTTAAATTGTAAGCCTATATGTTACATTTCATTGGCTCCATGAGCTCTATCATTTGAAAGAAAATATATTTTGTACTTTTTATTTGTACTCTCATTTAACTGTTTTCATTCATCAAGGTTTATTTCAACTTCTCCCTATCTTCCTTCAAGAGAGATCTCTATTAGTGACCCCCAATTTCTCTTCCTTGTCAATCTGCAATTTTGTGGGATTTGAGCCTTGGAATCCTCTTGAATAATACTGTACATTGCATTTTGTCGGCAAATTTTTCAATGGACAAAATATGGTGTACTATAAATAATAGTAGTACTAACAACCACATTTTCTAATATGGGTCCACCAGCTAGGTTAAGGTTTCATTTGGGTAATTTAATACGTTATATTTTTTTTCCGCTGCAAGTGACAACTCAAGGGGACAGGCTGGTCCACTACACCTACAATTTTTTGTTAAGAATGTGTTCTTCTATGGCCCCTTTCTAACTTCATGCTCTTTCCCCTTTATTTATGTACAAAAATTATTAGAGATTTTCTTCCATTTTTGTCTGATCACTACAATTTGTGCCTTCCTTACTACTTCTCAACTAATTTCTTCTCTTTGGACACTGAAGTATAGGATAAGCAAGTAGTCTCCGTGGTGTAGTGGTAAGACACTCGCCTGGCGTTCCGCGAGCGCTATGTCATGGGTTCGTATCCTGGCCGGGGAGGATTTACTGGGCGCAATTCCTTAACTGTAGCCTCTGTTTAACGCAACAGTAAAATGTGTACTTGGATGAAAAAACGATTCTTCGCGGCAGGGGATCGTATTCCAGGGACCGTAGGATTAAGGACTTGCCCGAAACGCTACGCGTACTAGTGGCTGTACAAGAATGTAACAACTCTTGTATATATCTCAAAAAAAACAAAAAAAAAAAAAAAAAGTATGATAAGTGGTAAGCCTGTATGGATATACAGCACTGTCTACGTTAACACTATGTCTTCCCAAGCCACTTTGCCCGTTTCCACTACAGCTAGCTGGCTGAAAATGTAGCCAGTTATCACTTCTTTTGGGAAGCCTGAGAATTGTGACTCAATTCATGTCATCAGCTAAAAACAAGGAGGCCATTTGAAAATACTGTAGTTGGTGTATGTCTAGTTTGTTTGCAGAGTTTTTTCTGCATTACCACTGTCGTAAATGTTTTTAATTTGATTTTCCTGAACCTTTCATGTCTATTAATGCTTTCTTAAAACTGTAGTGTAGTAGCTGTAAAACTGACCAGCTTTATTGTCACTACTTGTGGAGGTTTATTTATCCTCTTTCCCAGGTCACCTGGCATCTAGCGATCATCGCTGTATTTTCTGCTGCTAACTTCACCCACTTATATTATACTATTAATTTCATAGAGACTTTTTGTGGCACTCCTGTAGCCCTCAACCCTCCATACAAACACTTTGATGGAGGCAAGAGGCAGAGATGTTCAGCTCATGTGAATTGGTGTGTTGGGGACTGAAATTGGGTTATATGTGTATGAACATACAATTGCAGCATTTTGACCGTGTCATTACAACTATATTTTATGTTGTATATTTACACATAACATTAGACAAAAATGAGGCCTCCCATGTAAATGAAAAGCTCCTTTCTAAGCAAGGCACTCGGTTGCTCCCATAGACAAGTCCCTGCTATTCATACGGACAAGAATATGCAATATCAGCATTAGTTAACAGAATAATGTCAGTTGTAACTGCAGTAAAAGAAGAAGCTCCACATACCACCTGGGTCAAATATCTAGGTAACCAGATACAGTGGCAGTGCAGGTAGAAAATCTGAAGGCACTCCTGAGATGTGATTACCAAAATCTCCCCAAGTTCTGAAGTCACAGAGGACATGGCAATAAATGTCTTCATAGTGAGTGTGACTACTGTACAGTAACTGGGAGAAACTATTCATATTACAAAGTTCTCCAATGAAGAGAAACTTGAAGATACCAGCAACCAGACAGACCTCAGGATGAAGTTGGCTGAACAGACCAAACCAAGCTACATGAACGTGGAGTTTGCAGTTCCACACAAACAGATCAACCTGAAAAAACCAAAAGTAGAAACCAGAGTAATGGAGAAGCTAGCCTTTGACTGTTACCACTGTGTTGCTGCCGGTGGTTATATAGGCAAGGGAGGAATGCTGCCATTGTGTTTTTTTGGGGATCGATTTCAAGTGCGAGCTGACTGAAGCCTGTTATATAACAGTAGCTCAGCGCCACAGGAACATGTATTCATTTATGATGATTCTGAATAAAAGACAACGAGTTCAAAAGGGTGATGTGGAGCAACAATGAGTCTCATGTCCCTAATACGTAAGTTTCATTGTTGTCTCCCTTGCACCAGTTTGATCTGACAGGAGTGTATGAAAAGATTCCTAGTCCATATGGGCAAAATGCCAACATGCCCAAACAATGCAAAATTCTTGCCAATGTGAATAGCAGGACCTTGCCTATACAAACTACAAAATAATACTGCTCAAAAAACATTATTTACTTGTTTTAATATTATTTAATATTGTAATATTATTGTACTACTGTTTATTTAATGTTATATAAAATAAAAATACTTAGTCTACCAGAAGCATGCATATACTGTACTATGAAAACATTTACAAGCTGCTGTTATTAAGAGTAAAACAAAATGCTTATAATCAGACCCGTGTAAGTTATTGACATGCAACATTCAGAGTTTAAGGATAGTGATACTTTTCCCCACACAGTATTCAAATGACTAGAAACTGTATGCCAGCAAAAAAGCATGGAGAATATGTGGACATTCACTACTAGAGCAGTGTGCTTAAAATAGAAAGCTTAGAAGTATACTTTTTATACATTGACTTTTTCCATAATTAAAGTTAGTTATAAAATCATGGCCCCTGTGTCAAACACCAGATCTTTGTTCATTTTATTATAATCTGATTGGTCCTGATTTTCACACAATTTCTCAGTTTTCAATCCAATATACTTGCAGTACTCTTGTGCACCAATGCCTGGCCCTTCTAACTTGATTTATTATTCATCTGTACATCTTTGTAAGTGTCTAGACCACAGTCTTCTTCAAACCTAGTGTAAATAAGGTACAGGTAGTCAAGAATAATGCTTCCTTACTCCTACAAATAGCTTAATTTAATAAATAATGTACAGAATTATCTACTGCCTTTGATTCTCTATTTAAATCATGTTTGTAAACTGTTCTAAGTGACTAGACTATAAAACCAAATTATTAAAATGATAGATACCACACAGGCAAATCTTTGCCAGACCAAACAAAAACTTGTCTTATTTCTTATCTCCTGACGTATCTCTTCTTCTTGAGGTTATCTTGAGATGATTTCGGGGCTTAGCGTCCCCGCGGCCCGGTCCTCGACCAGGCCTCCTTTTTGTTGCACATCCCCCAGGAAGCAGCCCGTAGCAGCTGTCTAACTCCCAGGTACCTATTTACTGCTAGGTAACAGGGGCATCAGGGTGAAAGAAACATTTTGCCCATTTGTCTCTGCCTTCACCGGGGATCAAACCCGGAACCTCAGCACTACGAATCCGAAGCGCTGTCCACTCAGTTGTCAGGCGCTCTTAGTGTAACATATATTTACTCTATACCATCTGTGGACAAAACACGATGTTACTGCCAGGCTAATTTACTAGTAGCTCAAAACATAACTAGTGGACCTGGGAATGATCCCAATGAGAACATTTAATAATGTTGTTTATGTTACAGAAGTATGCAGTAGCAGACTGTTCAGGAAATATAATTACATTTAACTTATTTAAATTCATGATAATTAAAAGAAAATGAGATGAACTGAACTACAATGTTTAAACAAGATTGTCCATTACAATCTTAGTTAAACATCTACTAAAAGTAGTTCATTTTGTATTTACACAACATGAGAAGAATTAATTTAAAAATTCATTAACTTCCTTAGTGCTTATGAACAACTTTCTTTGGATTGGCATATTATGCATGCCAAACGTCCTTGCAAAAGCTTTCAGTTCCATGTTCATTTATTTCCACATTCTTGTTTAACTAACAAATGCATAGTGTATATACATACTGAACATTACCTTATAATCTTTAGATATATATTTATTAGATAGGTTCCCGGTAGTACAGTCGAGTTTATTCTCGACTCACAATCGAGAAATCCAGGTTCAAATCCTGGGCGGGAAATAATTAGTTAGATGCATTTCCTATCACCTGATGCTCTGTTCACCTAGCAATAATTAGGTACCCAGGAGTTAGTCAGCTTGTTGTGGGGTTGTATCCTGGGAGGGGGTCAGTAAGTCGACCTGGGGGGGGGAGGGAACCTCGATATAAGCCTTACATATGAATACACTCTGCCTGTCCTGGAACAATGAATTATTATTATTATTTGAAATGTTTTGAAAAAGTACCTAGCAGAATGTGTTCCTTATTTATATAAAAATATATTAGATCTTATGAATATATATAATTTAACACTTCCAAAAGCACATTAAACAACATTATTTTTTCTTAATTTTAAGGGATGGCGAACGAAAATAGGGTTTTTGTTTATTGGTGTAGACATTTCTTAACTAAAACAACTTATAATTAAAACTATTATTCCTGGCATCTAAACACTGTTCCCATTTTGTAGACTAAATCTATCATCTGAAAGCATTTACTGAACAAGTAAGATATACATTAGTTATCAGTTAGAATGCTTTTATTAAAAGAAAATGAAAGAATGTATAAATAGTTGCATAGCTTCATAGGCAGGGAGAGAAGTGCAAAACAAAAAAGAAACTTAAAACAACTCTGGCAAACTAAAACCACTAGTGCAAAAATTTTAATATGGAAGACAAAAGCTATTTGTAATTCTAGGCCTAAAACAAAGTAGAGCAAGAATGAATCTGACTCACCCCAAAATATCAAATGGTGCAGCTTGGACAGGTGACATGAGCAAAACCACAAGAAGCATATAAAAGCAAAATACCCCGTCAAGGTTTTCTTTCTTATCTTTGGTAATAGAAACAGAAACAGGTGCAACACCAGAAACTAATATTTTACTATGCACAGCCAAACATCAGATTAGAATCTAAAGATCACAGGCAAGACTATAACAGAGTTCTACGTGACACTAACAGTTTCCCCACTGAAAAGCTGCCACAAAAAAGCCATACAGTCCTCAGAAATATTGAGGAAGTCAGTCACTCTAGAACCACTAGGTGCACTTAATACAAGTTTTAGCAAATATTACACTTTGGATTCAAATAAGTTGTCAGCATTTAAAATCTGTTGCTTGAAATGTTCTGGTGTAGACACATTTTCACTATGAGCATCATCATCACTTATTTCTGTAATAGTTACTCCACTACCACTTCCTGCTCTAGCTGGCAAGTTCATTTGTTGCATCCTTCGCTCAATTTCACGAGTTAGTGCAATACGATACATCTCATAACTCATAACAATGCCATGAAGTTCATGTTTAAAAAGTCTGTTCAGCATGGCTTGATAGCAGTCAAGCTCAGGTAATCTGAAAAGTTCCCATCTTAACTTATGATCATGATCCGGAGATGCTTGGGAATATACACGCAGCCAATAAGGTATCTCTTCATGCAGGTAAGGCGAGGCTGGCATTAATGATAAAGGCTGACGAAAATCTGTATGATGTGGAATAGGTAAGGCCCTATGTGGTCCTAAAACTGTGTTCTCAGGAATTCTTGGAAGATACTGCTGTGCACATGGGTGTTCATACTGAGCTTGTCGAGTGATATGGTTAACATAGTAAACTCCATGTTCAAGAGACTCGATTCGCTCCCACCCAGCTGGTAACCCCTCTTTCTCCAGAGGGTGTGACCAGTGTGTTGTCTTAGTGTTATGATCAATGTAGTACTTTCGACCTCTTAATGTATAATCAACAGACCAACCAGGAGGAAGTGGAAGCTCTTGCTCTAATCTTGGAGAGGGAGGCTGTGGTGATCCACTTCCCATGTGAGTGTTTGACTGAGATAATTGCTTTTGTCCAGACTGCACTAAGAATGAGTAGCTTACTCCTTGTGCTGTCTGATCCAAAGGAGACCTAATATGATTTGGACCATACAATATTTGGTCCAGACTGTGTTGTGAACCAGTATAATGATTTATATATGTATGATTAAACATAGCTGGAGAAGAAGGTGCCTGCTGCTGCAATAATCCATCTAAACTGCCTCGGCTTCCTAAATACATGCCACCTAAACGCTGCACAACTTCCCCAACATTAGGTGTGTATTTCCCCTCTGTCCCTCCATGAGACATGCCATTCAATGGTGTTCTTGAGCTTGTAGAATATTTTTGCACCATTGGTGAGGATTGGTGAGATGGTGGGTTGCTGCTGCTAACGTATGGTGGGGTGATGGTGCTCTTTCTTTTCCTCATGTCATTTTGACTTGCATTAGGCCAAACATTTATAATGGGCACCTCTGGAGGAGATTCTTTTTTTATGTATTTTCCTACTAGGCTATCACAACTAGCCGTTGTATCTTTTTTGCGAGAGTTGGACAGCATTTTGGTGACTGTATGAGAGGCACTGGTTCAGGAGGTCACTTCTGCTTCCACACAGTGATGTCTTAACGAGCCATCACGACACTGCAAGAGATGTTTCTCATTAGCCAGGAATGTTCTTTTGCAGTGCTCTTTGTTGTTTACTATTTAACATCAATATTCCTTCAGTATACAACCAAGAATGTACTGTAACTACCAAAAGAAAAACTAAGCCAGTATGGCTGTTTAGCAGAACACAATCAAATAAATTTCAACATCAAAACTGTACATATCACAAGTCAGCCTTTTATTATAGTACATCTTACAGTATTTGATCTGCTAGAAGTGGAAATTTAAATTCAGTATACAAAAAAGATGTAGTTGTATAATATAATAAAAAAATGTAGTTGTATAATATAATAAAAAAAATGTAGTTGTATAATATAATAAAAAGAAATATTGATACCACATTTAATTAGTTAGATGAAAATTATGAGAAAATTTAACAATGAAGTTAGATAGAGCAATATTCAGACTAAAATGAAATAAAGTAACATGTAGTTACCATAAGACACTAAGCCAACATAGCTATACTGTACTGTATAGCACCATTCAAGTCAAAGATAAAAGCAAGGTGTTCTATATTATTCAATGCAAAAGCAGGAAGCCAAATGCTGAGACACATTTAGAGATATCCAATTCACTGGATCAGTTGGAAACAATATTTCAGTAATTTTGAAAATCTGTGATTCCAATAATGTGCATAACTGTGTCAATCAAAACCATTTGGACAATAAAAGGCAGTTCTCTCTGCCATCTAAATAATGAGTCAACTTCATGGAGCCAATATGTAAGTGTGAGCCATGACGTTTCTCATTTTTTTCTCTGATAATGCTACTGCCAATGGGAAACATTATTTTATTACCAAGTAGTAATATGTACAGTATAAGGTTAGGCTTAAAGAGGAAATAACACATCTGAATAGCAAATATACATGTGTACTGTACTTGTATATCTTGGATTTTAAATAAAGGTGAAAGCTGAAAATTCACACAAAAAAGAAGGTATATGCAGCTGTATCTAGTATTTTAAATAAAGATAAAAGCTATGTGCAGCATTCATGGACCCGGAAAATAATTATAAGAATTGAGTGGAATGCTTTGAGAGGTTCTAAAAATGTGTTGAAAGGTAATTTAACAAAATCATAATTAAAGTAAAAATACAAGTGAATATAAGGATGAGTGAAAATACCTTAAATGGGAAGCACTAGTGTGCAGTTAAATGAACTCATTATGCAATAATTTATAAGATTTATACATCCAGTAAAAATGAAAGGATTATTCTTGGCATAACCTCTCGGTTGCCTCCCGAGTTAGAACCTACAGTCCACTCCGTACAGTGTCAGGATACGCCAGACTTGATCACCTTACACCTCATACAATGACAAATACTGTACTTTGCAAGTACAGTAGTCTTGTCAGTAATTTAGGGAGGGAAACATGTGAAGATGTCTCAATTGACCACTAAACAACTGCACAATATACCAGTAATACAACATTGCAAATCAACTCATACTACTGTACTTCTCTCTGCAAGTGATCTTTAGATTTGCAAGGAAAACCATTGATCATATTGTTAACTCTGTTAACAAGATGATGAAGGGTCGGGGAGAGGCCGCAAAGTAAGTGGGGTAGCCATAATTTAATTATGTCTACCACATTTGGGAGGTAGCCATGGAGGGAGATCAATGAAATAGATAATTACCTAAGTGTAATTACCCAAGTGTAGTTACAGGATGAGAGCTATGCTCTTGATGTCCCGTCTTCCCAGCACTTTGTCATATAACACTTTGAAATTACTGACAGTTTTGGCCTCCATCACCTTCTCACTTAGCTTGTTCCAACCATCTACCACTCTGTTTACAAAAGTGAATTTTCTTACATTTCTCCGGCAGCTTTGATTCGTTAGTTTAAATCTATGATCTCTCGTTATTGAAGTTCCAGGTTTCAGGAATTCTTCCCTATCAATTTTACCGATTCCTGTTACTATTTTGTATGTAGTGATCATATCGCCTCTTTTTCTTCTAGCTTCTAATTTTTGCATATTTAATGCCTCTAACCTCTCCTTGTAGCTCTTGTCCTTCAGTTCAGGGAGCCATTTAGTGGCATGTCTTTGCACCTTTACAAGTTTGTTGATGTGCTTTTTAAGATATGGGCACCATACAACTGCTGCATATTCCAGCTTTGGTCTAACAAAAGTCTTGAACAATTTCTTTAGCATTTCTCCATCCATGTATTTAAAAGCAATTCTGAAGTTAGAAAGTGTAGCATAGGCTCCTTGCACAATGTCCTTAATATGGTCCTCAGGTGATAGTTTTCCATCTAGAACCACCTCTCAGATCTCTTTCTTTATCATAATTCTTTAAAGATTTCTCACATAATTTATAGGGTTGTGTGGGGTCTATGTTCTACTATTCCACATTCCATAATATGGCATTTATTCACATTAAATTCCATTTGCCAGGTGGTACTCCATATACTTATTTTGTCCAGGTCTTCTTGAAGGGTATGGCAATCATCTAAGTTTCATCATCCCTATTATCTTAGCATCATCAGCAAACATACTGACCAAAGCAAACATCAGCAAAATATGGTATGTACAGGTATACCATTTATGCACAAACACATGAGTGGCAGTGGAATGAACATTTGACTAAAAAGAACAAAACGAACATCATTCTGGATCAAGATAGCGGTAGAGTTTAGACGATCAGAAGAAGCTGGAGGAAAGGAGAGAAAACAATAACTGCAGAATTGACCAGGATGAGTGCCAAGTATTGGATCCTAGAGCCAATGTCGAGGAACCACCCACTGAGGAGAAGATCGGGGGAGGGGGGGTCCTGCAGAGACTAATTAGTCAAGAACTTTTACAATTTGTTCCTTGAATAAATTCTGCCCAAGGGGTTCCTTCTTTTAGTTCTCACTTTATATGCATGGTGACCACAGTTGTTGCATGTCTTTTCAGCTTTGTTTAGTTGTTGAAGATCTTCAACTTTAAGTTTTATCCTTTGATTGTGAGTTGATCATAAGGCCCAACACATTCTTTCTGATCACTATCAGAAAGAAAGCATTCAGTGATTAATTCATATCATGAATTAAATTTCTTCTTGTTTCCTAAGATCAAATCAGAATATAGTTTTTGTTTGTGGTTGACTTAGAAGCAGACTAGGTCAGAAAGTAGTCTTTGATTAGTTACAGGAACTTTTCTGTGTCTGAGTTACCTGTTTTTAATATACTATACACTGTATATGCCTCTGAGCTTCATCTCCAATGATGCACACATCACTACATCTTCATGCCTTTATTTTATCTCTGCCCAGATAAGCTTACTCTTCAATTTGTCTGGACCAGGGGTCGATATATTCAGCCTGTTCTCTCGATTTGTCAATGCAAAAAATGCAACTGTTTTGCCTGCTAAGACATGTGCGAACTGACACAATCTACCTAACCTATTGAGGCTGTTGCATAAAAAATATCATTACGGTGCTTTAATTTTTACAAATACAGCACATCACATTTATAATGGGATTGGTCAATTCCATATAAAAATGTAACATCAGATGAGAGGCTCAGTTGTTATAATACCCCCTATTAGGAGATTTTAGTTTTTTGTATTTACTTCTATATATGTTTATATTTATCTGATTTGTGCTTAAATCCTCTGTTGGAAAAAGGCATCATCCAAGATCAAAAGATGACAAGAGCAGAACATATTAGAAATATTTATGAAAGCATCCTCAAAAGGTACCAAAATCTAAGATTACTGTAAAGTTGTACATCTACCTCTAAGGTTCTAAACTTCTAAAGGATATCATTACAGGTATTCTATAGGATATGCAAGAGGAAAAATTAACAAAGTTTAGAGGAAACAAGGTAATTGCAAGGCCACTCATAAGAGAATAGGTGCAAAGAATGACTTAAAAGCACAAAATTTTGAAATGGCAATGATTGCATCAATATTAAAACCTATCCTGTTCAGATAGTACCTATTGTGACAATCATCAGTAGTCACGAATTTGTACGTACTTAACTTTTCGATAGTAGTATACTGACAAGTAAGGCATTCTTAAAAAAAAAAAAAAAAAAAAGTTAAAACAAAAACTTAAATATTCCTAGGCCTCGTATAGCACACTTATGAACTATATTAGGCCTCAGATATTGTGTATTAGTCCTAGGAAGGTTAGCTTAGGTTAATTTAGTCTTTGCAACACAAGTAAAATATTGTTTTACTGTTTGTCCAACTCCGTCACGATTTCTACTTTCTAATTTCGTTATATGACAGTATATATACTGTACTATGGTCCTCATCGTCCCTATAAGTACTGTACTGTACTACCAAAACTGGAGGATGGGCTGCAATATTCATAATGCACATCTACCTTACAACTGGTAGCTGAGGATATTATTCAAATGCAATTTGAATGATGTGTGCCTATTTCTTACACAATAGGAAGGGGGTAATTCATGCATGATAAGGGTGAAAGTTGGAAAGGTTGAGCACAATGAAAAGTCAAACAAAAAGTACAAATTTAATATAGCTCAAATATCTACAGTAGTAAAAGATTAGGGAAGATAGGGAGCAAGATACATTATTAAAAACACAAGGGGAGGGAGAAAGTGTTAAAATAAAGAGGGGGAGGAAAGAAAAGGTGAGGGGAGAAAAAGAGAAAAGCTAAAGAAAAAGATAAAAAGGATTGAGAAATATATGTAACACACATTACTATACTGTACTTGCCATGTTAAGGTTATCAGTTTTCCATTTGCTTTTCTTATATTGTATTGTCTCTTTCCATCTTCATTTCATGTGGCTTGTTCAGGTTGTCCTGGTTCTAGCTACTTGTGTTGGATCAACCTGTGAATAATTTGTTTTAATTATTGTCTTGCTCATATTCAATTTGTTTACTTGGCTTATATTGAAAGAAATAAAATTAACTGTCTTCGTGACAGCATAAAAATATACAGTACAGTATTATGATTCCTAATAAAAAATGTGTGGAGAATTACCTATTTTCCCCACAACAAACAGAATAGTATACAAACACAATATTTCCCACAATAAAAATCTGAGAGCACTTTCAATGTCTACATACCAAATTAAGTTGGTAGAGGGCTGTAATTACAGCAGATGTTCTTTAACACCAATTAATTGGCAATTACCTGTGAGAGATTGGTTTTCCATAGGTGACAGATGGGTTGATGCAGATGCAGCAATCCCAGCCCGGTTTTCACTCTTACGTGCATGTCCTAGTATACATGGGGGATAGACCTAGCATTTTGGGTGTATATGTGAAACACTGGTTGATATAGAGAAGTTATTGCCCAATGGTCATTGTGTGCCCATCGAGTGATTAACTAGGACGAAGTGAAGTATTCATGCAATAGAACAGTGCCAGAGAGGTCAGCCATGTTTTGTGCTACAGAGTAAGTCCCCAGTCAAGGATCAGATAAGGAGAGACTTCCGGTCAGTTTTCCAAAGGTTCAACCACGAGTCATGATGAATTCATGATGTCATACCTCACGTCACCTATGCCTAGGATTATGTGATTGAGGCAGGCATGTGCACCATTTCCCTAATTGGCAAATCTGAAATCTTGACTGCTTACTCCCAGGAGGCCCTGATGATGTCCTCACATAGCCAGCTCAGGCATTCTAGTCAGGAAAGCCTTTCAAGAAAGATATGGGTATATATTATCAGTCAGCCAATAAACATTATTGCTTCAATAAGATCCTCTACATGTCAAGTTAACATTACAAAATACTTTCCTTGTTATATCTAACATATGTCCAGAATCACATTTGTCATTTATATTAAAGATAATCATTTAACATGAACTCAGACACACCATGAGGTAGTGAGAGAGAGGAAGGTAACCATGTTCCAGTGTGCCATAGTGATCCTAGAATATCTAAGTTATCCATGACAGTAAATGGTGGGAAGTGTTTCAGTGAACATTAAATGATTGTGGAAGTGCCCCCACATATTGTCAGTATAGATTTTGCCACAACACCTGTTTCATGGGAAATGTGCATCTGCCCGTGTGCCATTCTTTTGTGTCCTGCTGCCACACCGCTTGTGTGTTGCCAGCCGTCGCTTTCTCACCAACCGTGCTACATCAGCCACATGTATACCTCTCATGTTATCATGTGCAATTATAAATATGTTCTGCCTCCTGTTATGTGTATTTTTACACACTACCACGTGCAGAAGTGAAGAATGCCAGTACCACTCCAATGAAGTCTCGCACATAGCAGTGCCGAGATAATCACCATACTCCAGTGAACTTCATGCATGTGCCTTGTGCAGACTAGCATGAGTACCAGCTACCAGACTACCTATGGAGCTGCTTGTATGAGTATTGTATGAGTGTGTGAATGAGGCTTGGCCACTTTAAGTACAGAATCTCTTGTTTTATTATCATCTCTCTGCATGCAGTTCTTTGTGATCTGCCAGTTATTCTCGCCTCTCCAACACCTGCAACAGGTGAAGACCTGTTGCAGGTGTTGGAGAACAGGTGAAGAAGATAAGAAGTACCAGATGGTGAACACAAGATTTGGCTATGTCATAATATCATACTGAACCTGTTATTGGATGTGTCGTGTCACATACCACACATTTGGCTTCCACCTGCTATGTTTTATCGGCTGTCCCTTTGACAATGAACATGTGTTTGTTATTTTGTTCATGATTATATGTCCCATTGACTGAGTATTGTGATTCATTGTACATGTATATATGATTACTCAAGTATCCTATTGAACTCTTATTCCATAGTTTTCATACAGGAAGTGATTAGGCAGCCGAGATATTTGATTGATTGTCTTAACGAATATTAAGCGAGGTTTTGTTCCTAAGGGAACTGTTATCGATCTGTTAGATGTTCCATGTCTTTCTAAAGCAATTTAGCTTTGACAACACCAATTTCGAGTAATCAAGTCCCCTGTGTATTAGCAAGCAAGTTCTTGTATAAACTATGGTTGTCCTAGTTAATTGTTACTCTTGTGTTTCTGTGAAACCACTCCATGCTACTCTTTAACACATATACAGTAACTGCTTCTATGTACCTTCAACACCTATACAAGCCTATTAAGTTACAAATAAACTATAAGTTGTGATGAGGACCTGGGAGAGTCCTTTTGCTTCATTTGCATTAACACTTTCTCATGCCCGGCATGTGACCCGTCACACACCGCAAGGTAGGCCGAGCGTTGGACGTGAGCGCACAAACCACATTCAAATGTTTACACTCTTTTCAGCTTTCTCACCTCAATTTTCATGCTGTGTCATTGATTATGGTATCAAATCGTTTGCAATATCATAACACGCATTTTAAAATCAGTCCCATATTACGGACAATAAATGTAATTTTTACAAATTTATTAATCTGCAAAGTAGGCCGAGCGTTGGCCGTGAGTACACAAACCACTCTCAAATGTTTATACAGTGGGGCTTTCACTTAAGATGGTAATCCATTCCCAGAGACGTATCTTAAGTCGAAATATCGTAAGTCGAAAAGAATTTTCCCATAAGAAATACTGTAATGGGAATAGAATTAATCCGTTCCACACTCCCAAAAAAATTAACTTCAAAGTAAATTTTATATCTAATTCACCCAAATCTTTAGTACTAAAGTATGTACAAGTTATTGCTTACCTTTATTGATGACTCTTGTTGGCGTATGGAAGACTGTGAGGAGAGGTGTTAGTGTTTAGAGTTTGGAAGGAGAGTTCCCTTCCATTATAACATCAGGCATTGATTGTTTTTCTTTTTCAATTTCTAAATTTTTTTTTTTTTATTTTTTTATAGAAAATGGAGCAGCCTATCTGACATCCACTGAACGAACATTTCAGACATTTTTCTTTTTTCAAATTTTTCAATTGTGTTTATTTTTTTCATTTTTTTATATTTTTTATAGAAAATGGAGCAGCCTACCTGACATCCACTGAACGAACCTTTTAGACATTTTTTTTTTCATTCTTTTTCAATTTTTTTTTTTTTTTTTTTTTTGTATAGAAAATGGAGCAGTCTACCGACATCCACTGAATGAACCTTTTAGACATTTTTTATTTTTTCAGTTTTTTCATTTGTTTTATTGTTTCATTTTATTTTTTATAGAAAATGTAGCAGCCTACCTAACATTCACTGAACGAACCTTTTAGACATTTTTTCTTTTTTCAAATTTTTTCAATATTTGTTTATAGTGATGCATCACAGTGTCATTGAAAAGGTTAAGGCAACAGCCTACTGCAGCTTGATTTGGGCGAGTTGTTTCAGCAAAAGTTTGCAGTTCTTCCCATGCTGCACATATTTTCGTAATAAATGAGGAAGGGACATCCTCTACATCAACAACCCTCATACCATTTTCATGTTTACGACTGATCTCTTGTTTTTCCTCTGTGGTCATCCTCACATGTGTTTTCTTAGGTTGAACCATACAACTGACTTTCTTGGGACCCTTGGGATATATCCGGCATGATATATAATATATACTTTTATGTTCAAAAAACAAAAAATCACCACAATAATGGAATTTCTTACAAGCATGATCGTCACTAAGTGGTTGGCTCTGGTAAACTGAGGCAGGTCTGCTTGTGCCACCAGGAACCATGCGCTTGGTTGACCTGAACGCGCATCAACGAATATCGTTAGTCGACGACACTATCGTAAGCCGAGTCACATTTTACGATGAAATTTATATCGTAACTCAAAATTATCATAAGTCGGAGCAGTCGTAAGTCATGGTGCCACTGTATTCTTCTCAGCTTTCTCACTTCCATTTTTGTACTACTGTACATTATTAATTGTGGTATCAAATTGTTCGCAATATCATGGTGCGCATTTTAAAACCAGCCTCATAATGTCCGGACACTAAATGGAATTTTTACGAATTTATTAAGTGATGACGGCATTATCGTCATCAGGGCCTCTGCGTATTTTGGTTTTATGACGCCGAGACCGTCATCAAAACACGAAAGTGTTAAGGGGATTCTCAGGACCAAAATGAATCATGGCCTGCCTGAGCCAGAACATCCACAATGAAGTTCAACTCTGCAAGGCATACCTAGGTCTTGTACTCATTGCTCTGGTAGTTACTGGATCTTAACAACTTTTAGTGAGCCATCTGACATATGCAAATTGGTAATGTTGGTAGAAATTGCAATCAATAAAAGGCAATATCCCACAGCACCATTAGATATATATTTGAATGTACTGTATGTCAAAACATACCCATAAATTTAATAATTGTGCATACATTTTTGCGACTGTAGCGAGCAAGAGTGCATACGCTATTCAGCATAGACATGTTTAAAGGATGGTACATATTAGCAAAGCAAAACATTTTTGTTCTGCACAACAAATCATTAAGACTCATTTAAATATAAAATAGCCTTGTAGCAATAATAATAACAGTACAATGGCCAGCCAGAGGCTTAGGGCCTGTGCAGGAATATCCTTGAAAAAAAAGTTTATGAACATTTATATACATGTTGAATGATCTGTCCGAGTACGTACATTTTTTAATTTGAGTTTGTTTAATCATATGATTGAGGAACCATTTCTGTACATATATATAATCATACATAAAATAATATTCATAATACAGTACAGTATAATTATCAAGTGTATATAGGAGTAAAGCTTTCAATTGTGGTGCATGCTGTTATAAATTCGTGCACAAATTTCACTTAGCTTTGCAAATTTACTGAAGAAACATTATCCAAGTAATTTTGCTTTCTTTCTACAGTACTGTATACAGTAATATAGATCAATCATGTGTACACATTTATGTAAATATTTGTAAAAAAAAATATGGAATGTTAAAAGAAATTTATAAACTTTTGTATGTTCACCTGTAGTTGGTTATTTAGTGATGCCATTTTTTAAAATCTGTATTGTAGAGCATTAATTTTGTATACATTTTTAATAAAATTCATAGTTATGTTCTGACTGCACTCAAGGACAGACCAATGAAGAGCTAATATGAAAAAATTTCAGGGAACCTCAATTTGTGTTTGGATTATTCCTGGAAAAATCGTCCACTTAATTATTTACCTTCTTTACTCAATATAACAAAACTATTTTAACATTATTACAGTACTTAATGTTCCCTACACTTTCCAGCTACAAATGCAGCATGTAATAAAATCCAGAATGTTTGGGATGTGCAATAATGAAAGATTCCAAAATGTTTATAAAACACAAGAATGTACAGTATGCTGACTAAACGTTGACCCAACGCACTTCTGAACATAGGGTAGCTCTTTTGACTCGTGTGGCTTATCCATGTACAGTACTGTAAAAATTTGCACACGCACTTTAAAACTTGGTATAACAGTGCTTACCTGCATATCAATAAATCTGCATAGTATGTGGGCTGCCTGTAAGCTGTTTCCTTGTCTATCAATAGAAGATCTGAAATATCTTAACAATCTTAACAAACTGATTAAGCAATGTTGCCACTGAGTAACTTCATTTCAAGTGCACAGAGGCAGATACCAAATAAAAGATCCTCCATTTTTCTTGTAGTATATACCTTATTTGCACATAGTGTACATCCTTCATAATTGCTATATAATACTGTATGTGCCAGTTTTGTCATTGGTAACATACAAAAAGTATATTAAAGTACAGTACTGTACAGTACTATCAAATTTGGTCAATGGTTGTTGTGATACATCAAGAAAATAAAACTTGTTCAGGTAATACTGTAATCTATTCACTAATTTATTGGTACAGTATATACAGTGTACTGAAATACCATTCTCAAGGACACCAAGCCTTGATTAATGAGGTCCACCCCTAGACAAGTGTGAAACTGTTCACAGTCACCTTTCCACTGCTGGCCACATCCAGTGGCACTTTATCCAACTGATGCACATCATCAGCCATGAAAACATGAACATCATAATTTTCTTATAAAAGGCATTAAAACAATCAAAATTATTGTAATATTTTCATATGACCAATCTGATGTCATATTTTAGTTCAGGATATTATCTATATCATTATCTTGTGAAGTCTTGTGAATAATTTATGGGTGAATTTCAAAGAGCACAAGAAAAACACTGTACATTACTGTACAATATTTAGAGGAACTATGTTAATGCCAAGCTGAAAAGTTAAATGAACCAACACTTTAAGCAAATAAAACAATTACTGAATATTGGTTTCAAGTAACATGAGAGTAATAACTCAAATTGTGTACTACTAGTTTAGGTTGGATGCTACTAGTTAGGTTAGCTTAAGCTAGATTGTTTATTTAGGTATGTTATATTTACCAGGAGCAAATCGGAAACGAGTCATTGTTTCCGAACCAAACAAATATCTATATCTCTAGTTACACGACAAGTTGTACCAATTCCAATTCTTTCTTAAGCATTGCTAATAACTTAATCTATGATTTCAACTAGCCATGGCTAGCTGAAATGATTGGCAGAAGAATTTGACCTATTTTCAGCTAGCTAATCTTTTTGTACAAATTCGATTAGGTTATGTCAAGTTGATGGCCAATTCTAGATTTGGTTAGTTGCATTAGACTACTGTATATTGCCCCTTCCATCACTCACCAAACTTAAAAATATTAATACTTGGTTAATACATACCTGTATATATCTAATTTGTTAAGTCAAGAAAAACTTCGTTAAATAACAAGAGCTTGCAGTAAAAATGACTACTCGACTTGATACCAATTAAGTTAAAATCAAATTGAAAATGGGAGAACTTTAAATGAGGCCCCAGGTGGTGCAAGCTGGATGGTAGAGCACCTTATAATGCCAGAACCCTTACCTGACCTTAATATATTTGGAGTGGAAATATGCCAACTTCTGCTCTAAACAGATATCAAAATAAAAGGTATCAGGATAAATAATCACATTAACTTGCTCCTTTTCCCAAGACACATTATTATTATTGCAAGATTTAGGCACTTGATACTGAGTTTTGCATCATTCAGTGAAAGTTAGGTCAAGATGGGTTATTTAAGTTAGAAATCAACAGGAAAGAGAGTAGCTTGCCATGAAACCAAATAAAATCCGGCAAGAAGCTGTGCAAACCAAAGACAAGCTCAAGAACCTGGATAAATTACCGGGTAAGACAGTGAGTGTACCGAAGTCCCCCGGGAGAGTGGAACAATGAGGCTGTTGCACTGTTAAATATTACCGAAGGACAGCCACATATAAAATGCCAGAGTTTACGTCACATTCTTGGAGTCACTTTCTCTCAACTGGGACGGAAGTATTCCCATACCACCAACGTCTTGCGACTGCTAATTCACACCTCGCTTGTTGCCACCTCAAAATATGAATTTCCTGAGGACATTTAGAGCAGAGTTCTTGATGGTGTGAAGGTTTTGTTTACATGAGTGTGGAGGGTGGCGGGGGATCCAATGCTCCGGCCCGCTCAATCCTCCTCCTCCAGCATCTGATACCTTCCCTCACCTTCAACCTTATGGTTCTCATCCCCTCACACACACACACAAACACACACACACATATATTATATATCTGTTTATACAGTTGTACTTGAGGTCGATCTCGAACCCATTGTTGATGTGACGACTTATATTGAATTTTGTAACTAGCTCATCAAGATTGTAACTTGCTTAGCTAAATGAATTGTGGGGTTCAGTCCCTGAGCCCATTATGTGCCTCTGTAACCCTTTCCACTACCGCCCACAAGATGGGTATGGGGTGCATAATAAATGAACTAAACTAACTACAGTTGATATATATTTTTGTATGACCATCAAATACAAATTAAATCAAATGCATTTTTTTAATTATAATTTCCCTTGAGAGGGAAGAAGTTGCTAAGTGAGTATGGGAGGAGGGGGGGAAGGTAGCTATAGATGGAGGTTCAAAGGTGATGGGGTTGATTATTTACCTGAGAGCCACTAACACTAGTGGCCTCGACAAGGACAGGACACCGGCGGCTTGTCAAAGGTCCCCCCCCATTTGTTCTGATTTTTTTTTCAAGCTGGATTATATAGTTCAACAGAGTATTGACATTTATGGCGTTGGCTGGTAGGCGGTTCCATGTTTGTATAACTCTTTGGGTAAAAACGCATCTTTAGTTAAAGGGAAAGGAAGGGAAGGGAATTATCGGGGGAAAGTGCCAAGCCATTACGACTATATAGCACTTGGAAGGGGTCAAGATAAGGATTTGGGATGGAAAGGAATGGTGCCCAACTACTTGGACGGTCGAGGATTGAACGCCGACCTGCATGAAGCGAGACCGTCGCTCTACCACCAGTCCAAGTGGTTGGATAGGGGAAGGAGTAGTCTAATTTATTTATTTATATATTTATTTATTTACAAGAAGGTATATTGGGTTGTGAAAGAACATACATTGGTGACTGGTGGCATACATTGATGAATGGTACTTACTTGCAAAGTCACTAACACGGGGAAAATACTACATTTATATATAATTCTCAGTAAACCAATTTTTCATATCATCACAGAGCATGAGCCGTAAACTCCAAATGTTATACTTGATCCTGCCTCGCAAGAACTTCAATATTTTGTCTACTGGGTAACCTTCCTGCCTGCCTATCCACACAAAAAATATAAACAGAAAGTAACATAATTATTGTATTATTAATTTTCTTGTATTATATGTTAATATGAAACATTAAAAACCTCATTAAATCCACTCTAATGCTTGATCCACATAAAGCTTTAAGGGTATCTGTAATCAAGTTTACAAGAACAACTTTCTGCGTACAGAAATAAAATATATGCATATTATTCTCAATTTCAGTACATTGGTCACACCTATTGTTGTCCTTAATTCCCAACATCAACAACCTATCATTAGTAGAGAAGGTCTCATGAATATTGTGATGCAATAAATTTAACATGATGGTGTGCCCTTATATATTACTCGCCAGTTAAAGAGTGGATATGCCTCCTCTACTCTTGAAACTATATGTGGGAGCAGATCATCACACACGTGTTTACTGTTCATCATTAAAAAAGACCTTCAACATTATAAATCCGCCTGAGGACATCATTTACACAAGAATAAAAGTGAGGTGAAATAAGGGCGAGGTCAGTATACTTTGGCATATGTATCAAGTAGCTAACACGTATTTTACGAGAATAGTGCCCTAAAGCATTTACTGTACACTCTTTCTTTGCATTATTTCCTCTCTAAAGGTAACACATGAGATAGCCAATGGCTTATATTACTCATTCAATATCTCTATTCCACCGTCTTTCTTAGCTTTATATAGTGTATTCAGTTTAATTGGTCGGTATCTATCATACCATACATATCTAAAAATAGTTTATGTGAATATGATCATTATATTGTATATTATTTAATAAAGAAAACAATACTAACACGGGATATGGGGGATGTTCTTCAGTGATGGGGAAGCAATTCCTGGGAGATGCAGTAGCTGTATATTCTGGGTAATAATACTTAATAATATGGGAAGTTCCGGGATAATGGGGTAGGCTATACTTGCAGGATGATGGGGTGGGATGTTCAGTGTACTGAGGTTAGTTTCCGGAATGATGGGTTGGATGTTCCAGCATGGATGATTTGGAAGTGTTTATCAAGTTCTCTCTTGAACACTGTGAGGGGTTGGTCAGTTATGCCCCTTATGTGTAGTGGAAGCGTGTTGAACAGTCTCGGGCCTCTGATGTTAATAGGGTTCTCTCTCAGAATACCTATTGCACCTCGATCTGCTTTTCAACGGGGGTATTCTGCACATCCTGCCAATACTTTTGGTCCTTTGTGATGTTATTTCTGTGTGTACATTTGGTACCAGCTCCAGTTTCATGTGTTTACGTATCTTATATTACAGGGAATTATTAGAGGGAATACCATGCCCTGTTACAAAGTAAAATAAAAATGTACCTAATTTCATCCTCATGGTTTCCTACCTTGTACTTCAAACTCACACTGTATCTTGTACTGCTCACTTCCCCATTATTAGTACTTAAGACTTAAGAAATAGGTCAAGGACCTGCCCGAAACGCTATGCGTGTTAGTGACTTTGCAAGAATATGAAAATATCAAGCTTATGTAATCTCACCAACCCATCTTGAGGTTAGGTTATCTTGAGATGATTTCGGGATTTTTTAGTGTCCCCGCGGCCCGGTCCTCGACCAGGCCTCCACCCCCAGGAAGCAGCCCGTGACAGCTGACTAACTCCCAGGTACCTATTTACTGCTAGGTAACAGGGGCATTCAGGGTGAAAGAAACTTTTGCCCATTTGTTTCTGCATCGTGCGGGAATCGAACCCGCGCCACAGAATTACGAGTCCTGCGCGCTATCCACCAGGCTACCATTGTACCTCTTTGCAAATAAATTATTATTATTATTATTATTATTATTATTATTATTATTATTATTATTATTATTATTATTATTATTATTATTATTATTATTATCATCATCATCATCATCATCATCATCATCATCATCATCATCATCATCATCATCATCATCATCATCATCATCATCATCATCATCATCATCATCATCATCATCATCATCATCTCACCCGCTTGCGTTCAAGAGAATACAGATTTAGGCATTTTAGTCTGTCCTAATAATTTAGATGCTTTATGGAGTGGATTCTAGCCACATGATCTCTGCAACCTCTCCAGAGGTCAGCTAGAATATCACAGGGGTGAGATGTTCCGATATGATGGGGGTGGGATGTTCTTGGGGCATGAGAGGTTTCTGGATGATGGGTGGGATTTTGCATGGTGATGGAAGGTTTCTGAATGATTGGGTCGATGTTATTTGGTGATGGGATGGGATGTTCCTGGGTGATGAAAGAGGTTAATTTCTGGATGATGTCCAGAGGATGTGTGTGGGGTGCACAATAAACTAAATGAACTAAACTGGATGATGAGGTGGGATGTTCTCGGGGGATAAGGTGGGATGTTCTTTGGGGATAAGGTGGGATGTTTAGAAATAATGGGATGGGATGTTTCTGGGTGATGGAAGAAAGTTTTTGGATGCTGGGATGGGATGTTGCGAGTAATGGGGTGGGTTCATAAGGGTGGAGGGTGATGATGCGCAGAGGCCTTGCGCAGCTACTAGACGATGCCATACGACCCAAGTATTTACATCAGTTGTCATTGGTCGGTCGAGGGGTGAGGATGGCTGGTGCAGGGCGAGCATCCATACAGTTGATTTAGTTTTCTTGGAGCCATTGAACGTTTGATTCACTGTTGGTCCAGTTTGTAATTCCCGGTGATATGGCTGTATGAGACATTTTAAATATCGACCAAAAATAAATTCCTTAGAAAACTGTGCTACAGACTCAAAGGGTTTGTTGTGTGTATAAGATCCTGAAGACAAAATGAGACAAGTGGATGCTTGATTTGTCTTGGTCAGTGCTAGGAATTATTCGTGGCAGAGCGTGTGTGGTGTGACAGTCCGGGATTTGTAGGGTGCGAGGCCTTGCGGCGCTGTAAGGAGGCTAGATGTGTAAGATGAATGTGAAGGATGGCGAGGAGCGGGCGCCGCTCATCCAGGAGACCTCTCATCTCCTCAACCCCTTCGTCCACCGTCTTGAACTCAACACCGCCTACGACAAGTTCAAGGTCAGGCTAAACCGCTTCTCTATATGTCTAAGATTGTCCATCGACTTGGACTGGTAGGTAGAATGACGGTTTTGCAGGGTCGGCGTTCGGTCCCCCGATAGTCCAAGTGGATGGGCACCGTTTCACCACGCCGGTGAAACGGTGCCCATTTTTTACCTTTCAAATGCTATATAGTCAAACTGGTTTATTTTGTCATAGCAGGGCTACTATATTTATAAACCCAAATATTTATTGTCATTATTTGAATGCAGGTGTATCTATATATTTTGTTAAAATAGCATAATAGTAAAAACAGTGTTGTTAACTAAACGGAACCTTTGGAGATGGTATAAATCCACAATGAACATCATGGATTATGAGATATGTAAAAGGGCATTAAATTCAGGTACTCAGGAAATCAGATTAGCCAAAAAAAAACTACGAAAGAAATCCTGCCCAAAACATAAAGGAAGATCCAAAATCATTCTATGTATATTTATGCAGTAAACCCAAAGACTCTGTAGGACTTCTTAAAAGATGACACTAACCGAGTTATATTGGATGATAAAAGGGCAGCAAACACTAAATGAATACTTTAAATTAGTGTTCACACTAGAAAGATTGAACGACATCCCATCACCCACACGAATGTTTGAAGGAGGTGAAGAGAATGAATTAAGGGGCAACAGCCTGGTGGACCAAACTCTCACAAGTCAAGCCTGGCCTCGGGCCAGGCTTGGGGAGTAGAAGAATTCCCAGAACCCCATCAAGCCGGTAAGGGATATACCCTACCCATTACATGCGACACAATAAGGAAGAACATTGACAAACCATAAGATTCAAAAGCCCCAGGTGTGGATGGATTTCAATCCAAAGTTGTAAAGAAACTGGGACATGCACTATGCATACCACTGAAACTCCTTTTCAGAAAATCCCTGGACCAAGGGATAGTTTTCCTGGATTGGTCTAGGATTGGTAACATTTGCAAATATGCAAATGTTACCCATTTTCAAAAAAGGCAGAAAAAGCTCGGAAGAAAACTACCGTCCGATCAGCTTGACATCACACATCTGCAAGCTTATAGAGAGAATCCTAAAGAAAGGAATTAACCAACATCTCAAAGAGAACAATCTTGTAAAATCAACGCAACATGGGTTTGTTAAAAATAGATCATGCCCTACAAACCTGCTCACATTTCTGGAAACGGTAACCGGCTATTCAGACAAAGGACTTGTTTCATATACAGTACATCAATGTATATGTATATCATATACACCAGTGTATATGTATTTCATGTACATCAATGTATATGTATATCATATACATCAATGACATAGATGAGAATATTACAAACCACATCATCAGATTTGCAGATGACACTAAGATATATTGTAAAATGGGAAGTGAAAGTGATATTGAGACCTTACAAAGAGATCTACATGAACTCCACAAATGGTCAGATGACTTGCAAATGCTTTTTAATGTCAATAAATGCAAGACCTTGCATGTGGGGCATAACAATCCAGGTCACAACGACCAAATTAACAGCACAACCGTACAACAGATAATTGAAGAAAAGGACCATTGAGTCAGAATCCATCATTCACTAAAAGTTGCACTAGAAGTGGGGGCGGCAGTAAAGTAAGCTAACCAAACCCTGGGAATAATCAAGTGTACCTTTACCTTTAAGGAAAAGAAGGTAATCATTCAATTGTATAAGTCTCTGGTGTGCCCCCACCTGGATTATTGTATCCAGGCATGGAGACCTCATCTTCAGAAAGACATAGCTGTTCTGGAGAAGGTGCAACACTGGGCAACAAAAATCATCCCAGAGCTTAGACATCCCTCGTATTAGGAACGGTTGAGGGCCACAGGTCAAACAACACTGCAAACCAGGCATGACAGGGTGAATCTCATCGAAACCTTTAAAATACTGAACAATTTGGAGGATGTTGATTCGGACAATTTCTTCAAAAGGTCAGATGTAACACGAACGAGGAGCAACAGATTCAAGCTCAAGAAGCCACAATGTAGGACTGAACACAGAAGATGCTTTTTCACCCATAGGGTTCTAAACCCATGGAGCCGTTTACCTGCCGAAGCCATAAACACCAAAACTCTGCTGGGTTTTAAAATACAGCTGGAAAATATCATCAGGGCAAATGAGGGGGGGGGGGACCTTTGACAAGCTAGCAGCTTCCTTTCCTCGTCGAGGTCACTAGTATTAGTGACCCTCAGGTAAATTCAAGTAAATAATAGCCTTACTGTAGTGAAAATTAATGCCACAGGGCAGCATCCTGGGACCTCTCCTATTTCTTATATACAGTACATCAATGATCTGCTAAATGTCTCTAACATTCTTAAACCTATAATATTTGCTGATGATATTATCTTCATCTACTCGGATCCCAACCCACACACATTAAATAATGTTACTGTATAAATCACTCATGGATGTCAACCAACAGACTCACACTAAACATAGAAAAGACCTACAGTACTACATTTTATTTGGAAGCATATCATCAAATGAAATTCAACTTCAGATAGACCATGTTAACATCAGCAACAAAATTCATGGAAAGTTCCTTGGCCTACACATAAACAAGAGATTCAACTTCAGCACCCACATACAACACATAGCCAAAAAAGTCTCAAAAACTGTTAGTATACTCTCTAAAATCAGATACTATACACTGTATTATGTTCCCCATTCTACTCTGCTCTCTCATTATACTACTCGCTAAACTATCCCTATTTTACATACGGTATCTGTGCATGGGGGTTCAACTACTGCAAATTACCTCAAGCCCATCATCATCATCCAGCAAAAATCTGCTATCAGAACAATAACAAACTCTGTTTTCAACGAATAACACGAATAGTCTCTGTGGCGTAGTGGTAAGACGCTCGCCTGGCGTTCTATGAGTGCTTTGTCCTGGGTTCATATCCTGGCCAGGGAGGATTTACTGGGCACAAATCCTTACCTATAGCCTCTGTTTAACTCAATAGTAAAATTGGTACTTGGTTGTATAAACGATTCTTCGCGGGGGTCGTATTCCAGGGAACATAGGATTAAGGACTTGCCCGAAACGCTACGTGTACTAGTGGCTGTACAAGAATGTAACAACTCTTGTATATATCAATAAAAAAAACCACAGCCCTTCTGTTTAAATCCCTGAACATGCTGAACATACACTCATTCCACACATTCTCTTGTGCTATTTACATCTTGAGGTTATCATGAGATAATTTTGGGGCTTAGTGTCCCCGCTGCCCAGTCCTCGACCAGGCTTTTTTTTTTTTTTTGTTACGCATCTCCAGGAAGCAACCTGTACCAGTTGTCTAACTCTCAGGTACCTATTTACTGCTAGATGAACAGGCACATCAGGGTGAAAGAAACTGCTCATTTGTTTATGCCTCTGCCAGGGATCGAACCCGGAACCTTAGAGCTACGAATTCTGAGCTCTGTCAGTCGTTAGGCCCCCCTCAGGTACATGTACAAAACCTTGTACATGTACCTGACTGCTATCAACTTATAGTTGTTATTTTGAATGCAAATTTTGCTACAATGTACCTATTAAGTCTTCAAATTATGCTACAATATGCCTATTAATAATCTTCAAATTTTACTACCATGTACCTATTAATATTTTTCAAATTTTTCATACAATGTACCTGTTAATGTTCTTCACATTTTGCTACAAACTACCTACAGTAGTTAAAATTATCTGTTAGATTAAGGACCTGGCCAAAACTCTATGCATGTTAGTGGCTTTGCAAGAAAGTAAAAACATCAATGTTATAAACCCAATGTACCTTTTTGTATATATAAATAAATAAATAAATAAATAAATAAATAAAATAAAGTAACAGATTGCATGCCTCAATAGATAGTCTATCCAGTGGATAAGTGGGGCTAAATAACCTAACACTGTCTTTCACTGGTCACTTGGTCACTGGGAAAATGAAAACGTCATAAAATAATTAATCTCTATAACACATATTGCCTAAGCAAATTTCATCTTCATTAGTTGTAACAGGTTCATTTGTATTAAAAGTTGTAACATGTTGGCCAAATTATCATCAGATACCTTTACATCAGGAAAACATATGCTTTCAATGTGCATAGGCATGACTGTAGCCTTTATATACACATGTGGACACAGTGTGCATAAGTTCCATATATAGTATGCATGTAATAGTTTGTACAGTACTGTATATACAAATGCATACTGTATGTACATTTATTGTTCATTAGACATTACATGGAGCATAAACAAAGAAATAAGAAGGCATGGATATACTGTAGTAAAATGTAGATAAGTACTAAGGCACAGAGAAGGGAAACAAGTACAATAGCCTATATTAGGGTTGGAGACATGAAGAGGCAGTTTGAGAATGATATTGACAAAAGCCAAAGATTATTTAAGCCAAATGAGAAAAAGAAAACAGTAAAGGGTTAATAAGCTCAAAGAGTTTGGACATTACCTCACAAAAAGTGACAAGGTACTATGCAAGGAGCTAAGCAGAAGATTCCAAGAAGTTTTCAGGATGGAATTTAGCATGGATAACAACAGACATTACTAAACACATTATAGAATTCGATACTTAATTAAGCCTGAACAAGACTACATGGCCAGCCCAAATGTTACCATGACTACCGAAAGAGGCAAGAAAAATATCATGTAAATATTTGTAAATTTAAGCTTATTCCACACAGTATCATCTCATAATGTGACTTGCAATTTATATTTTACAGTATATTACTGTATTTATAATTATAATCAGTATAAGACTATTACAGTAATATTAAATTTGTCATATAAACTGCAGTAATACAATAATACTGTATAGACACAGTGCTTGAAATATTTTAAACTGTCAATAATAAATGGACATCCATTTTACAGTATTAATACAATTTCTTAATTTGTAAACATGTAAACACTTGAAAATTTATGAATAATGATATTAAGTTCATAACTATCACATGGGGGTATGATCAAATCTTAAGCAAG